TTCCAATCTTGGCGTCTTCTAAAACTTTGATCAAGGCATTCTACTGCTTAAAATCATTCAATAGCTTCCCTTCATTTTCAAATTAAATCCAAACTCCCTAGTATAGTGTAGAAGGCCTTTTGTGATCCTGCTCCTGCTTTTATCTCCAGTCACTCCACGGCATAGCTTGGGTTGAAGGCAGCCATACCCAACTGCTTGTCATTCCTAAAACAAACCTTATTCTGCAGTTTCTGATGCCAACCATTCCTTAATACTCATCTCGAAGAAGCAGATCCTGATCTTGCCACTAACACCAAGTTTATTTTTGCACCTCTTCTCTGTAAACCCACAGCACCATGAGCATATCTCTTTGACAGCAGTCTTCACACCATCTGGTCATCACAGGTTTACCTCATCCTGACTTGCTAGCTCAATATTTTCCCAAATCTTTTATTCACAAAGTAAAAAAAACTTTGCCAAATCCACTTGCCACCTATATTACTATTTACTTAATTGTTCTTTAACTCAACTTTTAACTTCAGTAAACTTGTTTCAATAGAAAATTTGACAGCACCAAGAAATTCTATGTTTGGCATGAAATAATTTTTTTTCTCATGCAAACTAAAATAGACATACCACTAAAACTAAATATTAAAATAAAGGACTTCTGCTCCCATCAGTAATAGTAAATTAGATACTCTGGGGGACTCTACCACTACAAAAAAAAAAAAAAAAAAAAAAGAGTCTAGATTTTTAAAAATACTTTTTGATGTTTTGCTGAGTTCAAAGGAATAGGGGAAACAGTTCAAGCCACTCTTTCCCCCAAAAGCAACAAACCTGCAGCTAGAAACCAACATTGGCAGCCAAGAGCTAGAAGTAGTCGTGCCAAGCAGCAGTGCCAAACGCGAAGTGAGGGAACTGAAAAGCGGTCCCAGGTTAAAGTCCCTGGGTACCAGCCAAAGCTGATACAAACCCTTTTAAGAAGAAAAGCATCACCAAATTAACCTCTGAAAAGTCCAACAGAGAATGATCAATCAAACAGAAGCTCATAATAAAAGCTCACCAAGCACAAGAGATGACAAGACACAATAAGAGAGACAACAGAAAAAACAAACTGAAGATTCTGACCGCCCA